CTGGGGTACTTGCTGTGGGGCAGGAGCAGTGTTCTCCGGAAGGGTCTGGACAGTACGCTTCCAGTCGCCCAGGGCACTGTCGAGGGTCAGCCCATCTAGGTTGGATCGGGCCATGACGGCAGCGATCCTGCCCACATAGTCTTTGGCCACTTCCTGTCCAACATGTGCCTCCCTCAGCTCGCTGTCGAGTCGATCCATGTCGGCGACGTGTCGCGACTTTTCCTCCGCGAAGGAAAGCTGAGCTGCTTTCTCGTAAGCAGCCCATCGGCGGTCTTTTTCTTGGCGTTCTTTGGTGATGCGGCTGACGCGGGCCTCCGCTTTTCGAAGCCGGTTGACAGCGTACTGCATGTCCTTCGTCTGGGGATCCTCTGGTGGTGCCGTCAACCTGTGCTGGACAGGATCCGAGATTTCCACCAGGGCCTGTCCTTCCTTCCAGTCCCGATCGTAGGATGGAAAAGGTTTGGCCTTTGCCTTTGCTCTGCTCTTGTCCTGTTCTCTGGCTTGTGGCGATTCGACGGTCCTGTACGATCCTGGCCACAGCGAGTATGAGGACCGAGAGGACCGCGAGGACCTGGGTGCTTCTTCGCGCCATGGTGCCGAATATTTGTTCTTGGCTCCACGTCCCATGCGGCAGAGGTCAAGCAATCGGTCTTCGAAGCCCTTGCACGTGGCGTGATGACCCAGCAAAGGACGGATGACCTGCTGGGGCAATGATGTTCCCCGCAGTGTCGCAAAATGTGCCCGGCACCGAGCAACAGAGCGCTTACGGCGCGCCCTTCTGTGCCACGGCGGGCTCCCACGCGCAATGGCTGGAACCGGGAAGTCGTGCTCTCACGGCACTGGGGCAAAGCTATCCCGCTGAGGGTGTTCTGAGCCCTCTATACACACATATATATATATATACACCGTTTTCTGGGCATATACAGAAAAGAGAGAGACAGAGAGAGATGCGATATACCCTCAATCCCGACCATAAGCATTCGGACCCCTAATTTTGCAGCCCGAAGCAGATGACTGCGTGTGGGTTCAAAACACACAGTTCTCTCAGTTGTTCCTCAGCAACCATGACTTAGGGGTACTTTGACATATTTTTTGGGCTATTATAATCCCTAAGAAACAGCTAAAATCATAATTTTTGCTAGGGTTCTAAGTTCAGTATAGATGAACCCACAGCTCCTCTTCCTTTTCTCGTTCATCCCTTTGCTTCTATAGCCTTTTCTGCATAGTGTGAGTGCGGCTTCCGGTACAGATATGCATCACATTTACCTATGTGTCTAACTGTCTACCTACCTACCTAACTATCTATGTATTATATATATATATATATACATATATATATATATATGTATATATGTATGTATACATGTACACAAGTGTGTGTAGATATATATATATATATATATATATACACACATGAGTACCTGGAGTCCTAGAGTACCAAAAGCGTCGTCGAAAGAGCTCTCCCATGCGTCCACAAGTTTGGGATTGGGAGGCTACTACCAAAGAGCATGGAGTTTCCTGCTTTCGGGCAGAGTCCTCACTAAGCTTGGATGACCCCCCCCCCCCCCCCCAACCCTACTTGGAGGATCATGGGACTTAGTAAGTATGGTTATAAGTACCTTAATTGGGGTTATAAGTACAGTTACCCTAATTATAACCCTAGTTACTAAGTCCTAAGTCCCATGATCCTTTAAGTATCCCCAAATCCTCAACCCCAGACCCCCAGACCCAGACTCCTCCTTCCCAGGGAGCAGCAACAAGCCTCTACACAGATCCGCGCGCAGACTTCTGTCATCCAGGCCCGCACATGACGATTTCGGCTTTCGGGTATAAGGAAGGGGCCCCCCTCACGTGCGCGATTCGTGACATTTGTCTTCAGGTGCTTGTTGGGACCCCAGAAAAAGCGCAACGTCAGGAGGGCCTAGGACTAACCAACTAACCTCGATTTAACTTGATAGTGCTTGGCTTGTTTGTCCGTACCGAGACTCAAGAATTTACAGCTTCATGTTGGCCCTGTTTTTGCAGGAGAGAGGGTACATAGTAGTCACGAGATGGCCACGGGGATCTTCTTACTTCGTGCTCATTGAAGTAGCATGAACGTAACGGGAATGCCTGGGTACATTGCTTCTTGGCTAAGCTCCTTTCTTTTTGTTCTGATACCTGCATGCCCTGAAGGTCTACCTATATCAAAAGATATCCTAGATTCGGCTTCCTTACACAGATTTCACTATACTGTATGGATAACTTGACCTCCTACTAGGACTTATCGTGCGTGCACGTTCGAAGACGACAATCCCAGGGGAACCGGCAGGTCGAGGCTTCAGGGCTAGTCGTGCAACTCAAGCGTCCAACTGTAGATGATATGGGAGCTTCCGAAAACTAGGGTTACCTTATTTGGGGGTCCTTATAATAAGGATCCTACTAGTTAGGGTCTTAAATTAGGGTCCCCTATATTTGGAAACTCCCATATAAATCCTGCCTTACCTTAAGAACCCTAAACTATGGGAACTATGGTATATTCCTTACTATGGGTGATGCAGGGTTCATGTCATCAACCGTAGCAGTCCTTATTTGTGGTTGTTGGTTCCCAAACGGACCCAAAGTCCCATAATAGAGACTACTTGGACCCTTAGGGGCAAGCAAGAGACTGACAATAAACTCGTTGTGGTCATCCTTAGGGTGGTCTTGGGAATACTTGGCATGTATGTGGTTCGCTCTTGTTGATGTTGGCGGCAGCAGTCGCAGCGGTGGCGGTTTGATGCTTTGTGTTGTTGCTGGTGGTGGTGGTAGTTGTCGGCTGAAGTACATATAGAACCCACGCAGCAAGTTCCTTCTTATCAGCACGCCTAGATAATGTTCGCCTGTTTTTAAGAAATGAAACACCCGTGTCACGTCTCTTATAATTATGCCTCGCTTGGCATCCCTGAGAGAATAAGCCCTTCAGAACCCTATTGGCCTCGCTGCAGCCTTCTGGCGAAGGCTTCCAAGTCCGCGCTGTCACAGCCTGAACCTTAAAACCTGAGCCCTTGTAGAACCTAATAGAACTTCTAAACCCTTAACACTAAACCACAAAGAAAAATCTATAAACCTCGTAGAATCCCTGCAGATCCTCGAAAAAGACTTATAGACCCTAACGCTGAACCCCAAACCCAAAACCAAAAAGGAGCTCTAGACTCTACCTGTAGCCGAAAAGACCTGCTTTCTTAAGGGTTCCTTATCACGGGTTCTATATGTAGTGCCTTGAAAAGGTAAGTCTTTTGCCTAGTTGTAGAGTAGGTAACCTTTAACCTGTTTTGGGCAGTATAGTCCCTATATAATCCCTATGACTATATCACCAAAAAGGTCTAGGATGCCCAGTAGTACCCTTATTCCCTTTTTGTAGTCCTAGGTTCCTTATAAAGTTACCCAATACCAAAAAGAGAGGCCTTTTTATTCTTAGGTTACTGGGTATCCTAGAGGTTAACCTTTAGTTCCCCATGATACCCGACAAGTCGGTTTGGGTTACAGGTAGGCCCGAAAGTCCTGAAGCCTCAACCCTCGTCCTTGTGAGGCGGAGTTCGATCGGAAAGTGAAGGCAGTGCTCTCAGCTTTGAATCTCTGCTGTGCTTTTTAGGGGGCTTTAGGGCTTTGGGGTTGAGGGTTTGGTTGGGATTTAAGGTTTTGCGGCTTTTTTGGTTGCGGGAAGAACTGTTTAGGGCTTTAGGGTGCTTTCGGAGGTTTAGGGTTTAGGGTTTGCCCCGGTAGAGCTATCCGTAGATGTTTACAGACAGGTCTAGAAAGCAGGTTTCATGCTGGGGAAGCTGCCCTGCGGGTCGAATTACCTTGGCGTTCTTCTGGTTGGCTCTTAGGACTTACACTTTTAAATTTGGGTTTCTATGTGCACTATGGTAAGGCGGCTACAAGTTTAACTTTTTGGAGGGCTTCGGAAATCAGCCAAGTTGTAGGGTTTGGGCCAGGGCTGAGGGTTTATAGCGTGATGATCGAGCTTGCAGTAGTAGCGTCTATGCGACTCTACAGCACTGTCTATATTACTTGGGTGTATAAGAAGGACTGAACTAGCGATTCCATTACCTAAAACTACCACAGGCTGCTTGTTGCATAGGTTCTTGCAGGAACCCTACAGATTGGGCGTCTACTCTTCCATTGAGGTTTTGATCTGAGATGTTTTGCCCATTGAGGTTTTGGTCTGAGCTGTTCTCCGGCATCGCGCAGCTTTTGATAGGGTCGCCTCTGGTGTAGATAGGGTTTTAAAGCCATGGTGTGGATGTAGGTACGAGTAAGGGTCATTCTTTGACACGGCTCAGGGTTTAGGGATTGGGGATGAGCTTTTGGGGATGCAAAGTGGGGGTCTTGCTTGTCAGGACAAACGCACTCGTCCATGGATGCTTGGGATACTTGAAAGCCTTGGCTCAGACCTACGACAGCCATACCCATGCAAGGTTCTGGGGCCTTAGGACTTAGGCTATTGGGAAGGATTTAGACTATAGACCATACGCATCAACAGTTCAGGGACCCACTGCTGAAACTTGTATAATTGATGTTACAGACACAACCAGGACCCTCCTTGTACCCTCAAATAGGGGTATATGGTCCCAAATAAGGGGCATTTAGGGTCTAATAGAGGGTAGATGGAGGGTCTAGGAATAAGCCCTAAGCTCATAAGCCCACAACACTTTCACCAACCCACATAAACTTGGTCACTACAAGCACAAGCTTCATCAGCTAAGCCCTAACCCCAAAACACAAGCCCTATGATTCGCAAGTCTTCACCCTTGTGTCCCAAACCCCCAAAAGCCAAATATTGCCCAGCAACCCAGGCTGTGTTTGCCAGTCCCAAAGTTGATGCTGACACTCTCCAAGCTGTACGCATCATATGGTCTAGGAATGTTCGCGTTGGAGTTCAGGGTTTAGGAGGCGTTGCAGACAAGATGAACATCTTCTTTCTCTCCATGTCGCCGGCTGAAGCTGCGAAGTTTCACGCCAACATCCACATTGTCAAGATGATCGTGGAGACGGCCCAGCTCCTTTGCAATGTGCACCACCGAGCCCGTGAGAAAAACGCTCCCTGCGACCCTCCCTACACGAAGCGCGATCGCATCCCCTACAAGGACCGCAGGCTAGACTTTGCAACAAGGCTTGCGAGCCTTCTTTTTGCTCTCATACAATCTCAGCTGTGAACTATCATGTTGCCGGCCGTTCTGCCTAAGAACATTGCAAATCGACATTTGTACCGCCCTTGTCATCTCGTTCCCAGTCCTATAAGCTCTGTTTACAAACCTAACAGTTCCTGCCATTCTTAGACCATCAATCCCCCAATGGGTCCATATACCATAAGAGTAGGTAGGCTCTAAGTAAATGCTTGCCCCCCCAAAGTCTGCACTATACTGCCAGGTAGACCCTTTGAGTCCTAAAGCCTGAGCTCCAACCCCAAAACGGACTTGTCCAGGAGTCTGCGGCCGGCCATCGAAAGCTGGGTTCCATGATTTGGGCGGCCGAGCTGGTGAATTGGGGATGGTCAAGGGGTTAGTTGTGGAGTGTGGGATCAGGGTGGCACTTCGAGTCCACTGAGCCTGCTGAAGCTGAAATCTTGGGCATGGTCAAGGTGTCAGTTGTGCATTACAAGACCCCCAAGAGGATCCAAAAAGTAGATCGCTTAATCGGGGTTCCTACCTTTAGTAGTATGGGGCCCAAATTAGGGGATCTACTTTCCAGATCCTCCCGGCAGTCTGGGTTAATGTTGCCCATGGACCTTGTGTGGAAGGTCGCCTGAAGCCCAGGTGGCCGAATCTCTGGGAAACTACCGCTGGGCCGTGAAGCTGGGTGTCTGTCCTTGAATTGTTGAAGCACCCTTTAGGGACCCTACTAAACCCGAACCGTTGTAGTGTTTTGGAGGGTTCTGTAAGTAATGGAGTTCCTTATGAAGGAGCGATTTGATTAGTTTTGCGTCTGGATAGATACTGTTTTCAATGGGAGCTTTGTGTTCATGGCTTGAGGTTTAGGTCTGGGGTGTAGGTCCTCAGCGCCAATGCCCTAGGGTTGGGATTTCAGGGTGTTCTAAGTTGAAGGACTTACGGTGCTGCTCACAGCTTAAAAAACCCCTGCTTTGGACTTTGCTTAGAGTTTAGACGGCGTGGAGTTGGTTGTCGGGGGTTTGACATTTCGGGTTGGAGATGTTTTGGTTTGGCTGGGGCTGCTCTGACAGAACGCACGCTCTCCCAGTAACCCTAGCGATGCGGCTTGCCAAGTTCCATGGCGACATCCCTGAAAAGAGAGGGTTCAAAACTTGTCGGACAAAACTCCTTAGTAATACCTAAACCCTGAACCCGAAAACCTTAAGCCCAGAAGAGTGCACTGAGGTTTGGCTCTCTGCCGGGAGTACAACCGCGGACGAGGGCGAGCCCGCGGAAAGCTCACGAAGCATCGGACGCAGGACAGGCTTAGGGCTTAGGGGTTGAGGGTTCAGGTGATTATGGTTTAGGGGTCTAGGGAATGTTTAGAGGTTTTGGGTTTTGGGGTTTTGGATTCAGTCTAGGGCTTTCTGGATGGATGTTGAGGGTTTGAATGGTTTACAACGTCTGGGGCATGAGGTTTAGGGGGCGTGAGGTTTAGTTGGTTTAGGTTTGCGATGTTGTATTTAACAGGCACGGGCATAGGGATGGCACTGCCTTTACAATTGCCTCTTGAGATATAGCATGTTAAAGGCTGCAAACCACAACCCTCCCATGCACGGTACCTGCTTCGGCTGGTGGCTCGGCCCCCTAAACCCGAAAAGCCCTAGACCGAAAGTACCCTTATCGAACCCTAAGATACAGTCAGAACTCGAATTGCAGAACCCTTCCTTACTAAGGCTCCATGTACCTAAACAGTATACATAGGCTTGGGCCTTCAAGACGTTCCTGCATAGATATTTCAGGGCCTGAGTATATACCCCTGTACCCTGTACCTGCAAAGTATATACTTTGGCCTTAAAGTACTCCCTATATATAGGTACATCAGGGTACCCTAAAGGTCCATGCGCCCAAATAGTATATCCTTTGGGCCCAATGTACCTATTTTGAGACTACTTTCAGGCCAAAGGAAATACTACTGTTGATGATATACATGCCTCACTTTAAGGACCCAAACCTATGAGAATATGGTGAAGTCCCTATTATGGGTAATGCAGGATTTAGATCATCAGCCGTATCAGTATCTGGGTGCATGGATCCTTCAGGCTGTAGGGTACATGTACCCAAATAGCATATCCTTTGGGCCTAATGTATCTATTTTAAGGCCAAAGTATATATACTAATGGGGTACACGGACCTTTATACCCTAAACCCTTGAGACCCGTTCAAAGAGCCTTAAACCCTAAACCCTTAAAGGAACCTATTGGGGTACATGGACCCCTAGGGCTATGGGTACATGGAGCCTGTTTTGGGATGGAAGTCCGGAAGCCATGCCAAGGCTGCAGGTCGGACTTTCACTTGCGAGGTTTCCGGCATGCGGTTTACTTCAAGGATGACGGGACGTAGTAACTAGGGTTCTAATTAGGGTAACTATACCTATACTCCCAATTAAGCTACTTTCAACCTTACCTACTTTCAACCTTACCTACTAAGTCCCATGATCCTTTAAGTAGGGTCTGCTTGGAGGTTCATTGGACTTAGTAAGGGTTATAAGTACCTTAATTGGGGTTATGAGTATACTTAGCCTATGATTGTAACCCTAGTTACTAAGTCCCATGATCCTTCAAGTAATTCTAGCAGTCCAAATTCCCAATTGTCTCATATTTTTACATACTTCAAGCTTTAGGGTTCAGGGAGTCCAAAAGGGCACAGAGGGTCCTGAACCCTATAAACCCAGAACCAAATATGTCAACTCCCAAACCCTAAGCCCTGGGCCAAAAGCCCTGAAGCTCTAAACCCAAAGCGGTTCTGGTTCAGGGTTTAGGCTTAAGGTTTAGGGTTTAGAGTTTAGAGTTTAGTTAGTGCTTGTCTGCGTTCCGCGGCCAACGGCTGCATGATCCTAAACCCTTTGTCGCTCCAGTGGGTCCCCCAACCTGAAGTACGGTTAACCAGGAACCGCACCCCATGCACCCATTAGTGAAGCCCGCCAAGTCCTCAATACAAGACATGTGGGTTGCGATCGAGGGTAGTCGTGGGTGTGTGGCATAGTCCCATTGTAAGTTCCGGATTCCCTCAACCCCTTTAACAAGTCTCCTCGACAGGCCGTCCTGGAGTGGCTCCGAGATCACGAGCCGCGCTTCCGGAAGAAGAAGCGCACGCAGGTTAGAAAAGTTCATCTGGCCATGCCGGACAAGTTTAAGCGGCTTGAGCTGCAGAAAGGGGAGCCACAGCATTCTTTACAACACAATGCTCTTTGGTAAGATGTTCGGTGAAAGGGTTGAATGCTGGACCGAAATCTAGCACGCAATATCATATAGTGACATCAAAAGTGAGAGCATTGTTGCGGGGGTACCCTATACTGACTATACTCTATGGACGTCAAGGGCGTTGATGCTTGTATTCCGACCCCCACCGTACCATCTTGCCGGTGAGCCTTCAACCGGGCTCGACGATAGACGATCGTGTAGACACGGCATGCTCGCTCCTGAGGAATGCGAGGAGTCCCGTAGAAGCCTACCGGGACTACTACTTCTCCAAGCGCCGTACCATGAAGTGACTGGGCCTGTACCTTAGACCTCACCTTAAGCCACCAAAACCTACCCTTTTTTTTTTGTAGGGGCCCTATAAATTCCATAATAAGGTTTATAATAAGATAAGAACCTACAAAAAAAGTAGGGTTTGGTAGGTTAAGGTATCCATCCAATCCCAAAACCCTCAACCCTCAAGGCCCTAAACCCTAAAGAGAAAATCTGAAGGCCGTGAACTTCTAGTCTTGAGTAGCCGGCATTTCGGGGCCTGAGATGCACTCCAAACAAAAGGCTCGAAATAGCCCGGCAGCTGGTTTAGGGGTTCTGGGTTCGTAGTAGGGTCCTTAAGGACGAAATGAACCCTAAAGGGGATTAAGGTTCATATATAGTATAGGGATTCATAGTATATGGGTACAGGGCCCCTACTTGTAGGGGTCATTTGGTCCTTTAGGATTTGAGGTTTATGGGTTTTAGTCTTCGGGTTTCGGCCAGGAGCTTCGGAAAAAAGGGCTGCCATGCCCCCACCATAGACTCCTGAAGCACTCCCTGAACTCTAAACCCCAGTCGCTTACAGGCCAGGAACCCCAACAACAACGCCCTACTTAAAGGATCATGGGACTTAGTAACTAGGGTTATCATTAATTAAGGTTAACTATACTTATATACTACTTACAACCCCACTTCAGGTACTTATAACCTTACTTGCTAAGTCCCATGATCCTCCAAGTACGTCTCCTAACCCCAAGGCCATCATGAGCAAATCCACGCAAGGATGGAGTGGCCGGAAGGGGCGGTGCCCTCCTGGTGGAAGTCACGCGCCGAAAGAGGTGACTTGAGTGGAGCAGAGGATATCCAGGGAGCGCAAGAGTGAACCGGCTGTTTAGAGCTAGTTGGAGGTTGTGAGCTTGCTGGGTAGAGCAGAGTGTCTGTAGTACAGAAGTATATCGGCCTCCATATTGATCTTGCAGCGCGAAAAAATATGGAACCCTTATCATGAGGCTATATGCAGCCCTTTGAAAAAACCCGTCTAAAGCTTCGTAGAGCCCTCGTAGAGTGAGAACTGACAAATGGTTTCTGTAGTCTGGGGCTCTGCCTTAGAAGCGGGAGGAGACATCTGAAGGACTGATCGATTTTCCTCGTTTCGATCAGTTCAATCGTGTTGTGGTTTTTCATGCCGCTGCCTGGACGGTTTGTAGTAAAGTGTAGTCTCAAGAGTGGTTCGTATGCTCGATGATGGTCCTGGAAAGCTTCAAGAGAGACAGCTCGAGTGCTGGCTCATGGTGACAGACCTTTCAGCCCAAAACCGTGTCGGGATCAGCGCCCAGGGCTCGGCATCCCATTTTCGCCGCTGCGTCTGCACTTCATGGCGGATGCAGTGGCCCTCGCTGCATGCCTTCAAAGGTGCGACATCCGAGGTTCGTCGCAATACATGCGCCCTCGAAAGCATTCTAAGGCCCAACCACTCCTTGGAAAGAGCCAGTGATGTGCATGGGCATGGGCCCTAAAGCCTCCTGTCCTCAGCCCTCAACTCTACGCCTTCCGGCCACAGCTCTATGTGCGGTGAATGCCTCATGCAATCTTCGTATCGCTGATATATGACCTGCTATGAAATCCTTCCGAGCCGCGAACGCAAAGTGTCCAAGTCCCGAATAGCATCGCTTTCCTCTCAAAACACTACAACCTGCTGTCCTAGTCATTATTCTAAACCCGTGCACCCAAACCCTCAAAAGCATGGAGCCCTCATAGAACCATGTTTTACCATACTCAGAGCCCCTCGTGGAAACCCCCAAATTAGCCCTAAACGCAAAAGCTTGAACCCAAAAGAGCTCCTTCAGGCTATCTTACTAGTGGAGTAGGTGATATGGAAGTTTCCGAAAATAGTGCACCCTAATATATTACTCTAAAAAGTAGGATCCTTCCAATAAGGACCCCAAAATAAGGTACCCTATGATCCCAAAGGCTAACCTTCAGTTTCCGTAGGATACTGGACGACAGGGTTATTGGGTCCTTCGGACCCATCGGGTCCTCGGTATGCCGCATCGCACCTTTGCTTAGTCCAAAGCAGACGCAAGGCACGTTGCGCCGGCCAAAATTCTGTGTCTTAGGGATCAGAGTTCAGGGTTCAGAGCTTGGAGATTGGTCTTTGGATTTAGGGTTGAAGGATTGGGGGTTCAGGGTTTCGGATTGGTTTTCCAGAGCCCTCCCCCCGTGCAAACCCAGTTGCCTTTCTGGTGGGTCTTCTCTTTTAACGTATAGTACCCATAGGACAGTAATTAATCTTGCAACTCGGGAAGACCGTAATCATAAAGCAACGAAAAATCCTGAAGGGTAATATGGGGATCTAAGCAGTTGCCAATAACATCCTGGTATAGTTCCTCACGATACGATATGCCAAACCGCGACTCAAGTTATTCGGCCCCTGTAGAGTATGTAGCTGCTTTGTTGGGGAAATCTCCAGAGCCCAAATGATTTGAATTCCACTGGCCGCTGGGGATGGTTTATAGGGGTTTGTGGTTTATAGGATTGTTTTATTGGGAATTACGGGTCTGAGGTTTGGGGTTAAGGCTCTAGAGTTTGGAGGTTTGCTGTTTCGAGCTGGGGGTGACGGTTAAGGGTTACCCAAAGTTTGAAGCCCAATTGGTGCCTCGAGTCTACATCTCACCAAGTCACGAAGTGTGAGAAGTCTAGACTGTCAGTTTTCGGGGTTTAGGGGTTTCAGGTTTAGGGGTTTAGGGTTTATAGGGGTTTGGGGGGACCAAGCAATGCAAACCGTTTTGCGGCCGTCCAACCCTGAGCATCTACCCTGAACCTGTCACAACAAACAGGCCTTCTCTGCGTTCTTGCTAAAGGATCTAATTTAAGTTACCATAATAAGTGGATCATATTATTTACTATAGATCCTTACTATACTAGCGTTTACTGAAATCCCTTAGCAAGAACCCAGTTCTTCGAGGTCATTCTTGCAGATGGTCAAGCAAACTACACGATCACCACGAAGGACCGCCATTGCATGTGATCCCGAAGCCTGGAGCAGGAAGCCTTGGCAAGCTTAAGTTGATTTATCAGGAAGTCTTCGCGCTGATTCCAATAAGTTTACCACCCCCAAACACCTAAACCCACACTCTGGACCCGAAAGCCGCGCCGAAGGTTTGGAACTTAGATCGTTTGAAAGTCAGGTGCTAAGGTTTGCTTCCCGTATAGACGTTTAGGTCTTTGGGGCCTCTTCTGTTACACCTCGTGCCCTATCAAAAGGTCACTACACTTGTCAGCAACTTCCCCTCCGTTTTGAAGGTTACCCTGCAGTAGAACAAGTCCCGAACTAGACCATTGAGCTGAACTACAAAACCTTGAACTCTAAACCGCAACCAGTTAACCGTAACACCCAAACCCTAAACCCCTTGACTCAGGTCGGTGGCACATGCTCTCCGCCTACTTGAGCAAAAATACTGTTTGGGGCTGTAGTCTGAAACAACCGAGTCTAGAGTTCAAGATTTAGAGCCGTTGGTGAAGGCACTTCCCACTCAAGACTTAAATGTGGGTTATGGGACACGGTGGACGTCCCGGGAAGGAGGACTTTGATAGGGGCTAAGCTCGAATATGTTTTTACACGGACCCTACAACATTAAGGTGTTTGAGTCCAAAGCGGTAAAGCGTGTAGTATCCATAACGAAAACGGTAACTCGGCTGCCAGGGTGAGGTATCTTTGTGAAAACCTGCGAGGAAGCCCAGGCCAATGCTGAGAAGCAGAAGATTCAGACGGAGTCCGAGGCAGAGTAAGGTTTATAGCCCGAAGGGTTCATGTACTCAAATGGGTGGTTGTCAAAGTTATGGTCCCGTTTTGGGTAGCCCAAATATTAGGTGCCGTTTTTTAATAAGACCCGAAAAGGGACCCTAATTTTGACAACTACCCAAATAGTATATATTTTGGTCCCAATGTAGCTATATAGGGAGTACTTGAAGGCAAAGTATATACTATCTGGGTGCATGGACCCTTAGGGAAATGTAACGAGGTTTCTGAGGGTGTGCGGCTCAGAGGTAACTAGTAAGGCTTTAAGTGTATAATTGGGGCTATAAGTAGTTTGAAGTGCAGTTTCCCAAATCATAACCCTAGTTACTACGTAACTCCCATGATGCTTGAAGTACTCCTACAAACGCCTCCTATAGAACCCTTATGGATCCCTTTTAAGGAGCTCTTTGAGGAACCCTGGTTACTACCTCCCATCTATGCTTTAAGTAGGTTCTGTCGGCCCAGAACGTGTTGGGTTCGGGGATACTTAGTGTGGAGACTTCCGGGTTTAAGGCTGCCGGTTGTAGGGGTATACGTAGAGGATCATGGGACTTAGTAAGTAAGGTTGTAAGTACCTTAAGAGGGGTTATAAGTATAGTTGCCCTAGACTATAACCCTAGATACTAAGTCCCATGATCCTTTAAGTAGGGGTACATGCCCTACGGGTCCATGTACCCAAATAGTATATACGTTGGGCTCAATGTACCTATATAGGGAGTACTTTGAGGCCAAAGTATATACTATTTGGGTACATGGAGCCTTCGGCATGGGTCTATGTTTATTGTGTAGCGTTTACATGATTTACACTTCTTTGTGGCTTAGCCCTTCCGTTGTCGTCTTGGCGCTTCAGCTCTGCAAGCTGTCAGACAGCCACCGCCCTCCGTGACCGTCTGAGGTGTCCTTGCTAGGTTTCGGAGGTGCGGTAGGGCTCACGGCCTGTGGTAAGGGCGACGAGCAAATCGAACCTGTTACATAACTGTTACAGAGTATACGCTACCACGATGGACACCTGTTTCGGGGGGCATTGGTGGATTCTTGCCTGTGTTCGGAGTCTAGGCAAACAGGCTCTAAACCTTAAATCCCGAAAGCCCGAACCTACATACATATATTATATATCTATATCTATATCTATATATATATATATATATATAGAACACATATATGTATAATATGTGTATATATATATATATATATATGTAGCATACATATTTACTATACGTATATATATATATATATATAACCAGATATTCATAATTTTTAATGGTGGATGCTTGGGCTGCAGCGCAGGCACTTCGAACCATCCGGCAGAGGCTCAGCATCGACCCTGCCGGCTTGGGCCCCGGGTTTAGGGATTTTTGGGTTTTGATAGGTTTTTGCGGTTTTGGATGTTTTCCCGAAAGCATCGCGAAGGGTTCTTCCGTGTGGAACGCCGCAGTTGAGTACATAGATGACAGACATAGAATCAACTTACTTGACTTCATACTTTACTCTACACTTGATACTTACTTACTTACTTGACCCCTATGACTGACTCTCTACACTTGACACTTGACTCTATGATACTTGACTCTACACTTGATACTTGACTGTATGTTATGCTTACGACTTACTTACTTACTTACTTACTTCAATCTACTTACTAACTTACTTGACACTTGACACTGGACTCTATGCTATCTCTATACTTACTTATACTTACTTATACTTACTTATACTTACTTATACTTACTTATACTTACTTATACTTACTTACTTGACTTGCTTAGTTACTTACTTATTACTTACTTACTTACTTACTTACTTACTTACTTACTTACTTGACTCTATGCCTCTACTTACTTGACTCTATGCCTCTATGACTTACTCTCTACATCTCGGTATCTAATTCTCTCTTTTAAAGCCAGGGGGTGGCACCGTTGTCGTCCATCGGGAATGCAACCCTTCCCAGGGATTCGCCTCCTCGGGCGTTCAAACGCGAGGTAAAGTTACAATTTTAGGGTTCCCGCGCAACCCTTCACAGGGATTCGCCTCCTCGGGCGTTCAAACGCTAGGTAAAGTGACACATTTTAGGCGCACCGCGCAAC